AACCCAAACTATTCTATGATTCTATGAATTAAAAATTAAACTTTACAACTGATTTTATTGGTTCATGATCAGAAACTTGATATAAAACCAAATTTCTTAGGTAAGGACTTGTTACTTTTGCTTCTTGTATTGTAAACACCTCAGAAAAGGGATGACAAGCTCAATGTTTACTTGGGTTGTTGATGTAACTGGGTTTCTTTGTCAGAGCTGCTTTTGACTTCTTTCAACTTTGAATAATGAAGAAATAAAAGCAGGAATAATGCATTCAGAAATATGACTTATTATAGTTTGACAAAATTCACTTCAGTTATTTATGCTCCAGTCACTGTAAGTTAAAGATGATAACATGATGAATAATGAATGAAGTAGTAAAGATGTCTCCTTTGGCAGTAAAGAAACTTTTTTGGGGGGAGGTGAGGGGAAAACGTTTCATCCATAGAATTGTGCTGTAGTTGAAAGTATTAAACAACACTTCTTCCTTCCCTCCAGAAGCATTTTTCTGTTTGTATTTTACTCAATATTTTCAAGGTGGTACTTGTTAATTCAAAATAAAACATTATCTGTCTATTTTGCATTGCCTGTTGTTTAACTTGTATTAAAATTTCATTAAATTGGAAACATTTAATTTGGATAGCCTTTTCCATTAGAGATGTTCATGTATTGGTCTATGATTCTGTGATTCTATGTATTGGATAAAGAACGCATAGTCATTCCGGTAATAATTTAACCAAGTTTTTTCAAGTCTGTTTAAGCCAGATCTGTTGCTTCAGAAGCCTGAAATGGGGTTCTTAAAAGATTAGAAATACTCTCAAGAGCTTAAATAGCCCTTGAAGTTGATACAAACAAGTTTGTGGATTTGCCAAGTACTGTTGCAAGTGATGCACATGCGTGATCGTATTCTGGCAAGGGCAGGCTTCTGACTCTGTGTTTGGTAACTGCACAAGTACTTGCAAATCGGAAATGGTTATTTGGGCAGATGCTTGTCCATGTCGTAGTTCACATTGATGACATTTTAATTCATAAGTAGTTGCTTGATGAAGTAGCTTTGTTACTGAAGATATGGGAGTTTGGTCAATCAGCCAGTTCCAAAGCAATAGCCTAATAATTTTGTATGTGGCAGACACATGAACTAATGAGCATGCCTCATTTATTTGGCCACATACTGTTTTCATTCAGATAACCAAATACTTTAAGAAAAGTTACAAAGGTGAGCATAAATATTTGCCTGAATTGATCAAATTTGGATTAGCTTAAACTGACAGACCCCCTCCTTTAATCCTTAGAAAATTTCTAGAGATGTAAGTTATGCAGCACTTAAAATGAGGAGCCCACCTAGTGCTGGAAGGTGGTCTAGTAGTTAGCATGTTTCTTTTGGCCTCTGGTATTTTCTTCTGGGTTTTATTCCAGCTGGGTTTTGTTGGAGTTTTTTGGGTGGTGTTTTTAAGTGATGTGGTGCTCCCATAGCTGAAGTAAACTTGTGAGGACATTCATGCAATAGTTCTGTTTGTTTGGTTTTTGTTCGTCTTCAAATAGGTTTCAGCTGTATATTGTCAGTGTGAATAAGAAATTTTAAATAATTTGCCCTTAAGGGTGAATAGATCTTATTGTCCAGTTTTTTACCTTTATATTTCTGTGACAAAACCAGAAAGATTCTTTTCTTTTATATACTAGTAATGGGTAGCGACTCCTACAGCCTATTCAGACATCAAATACTGAATTGCACCTCTGTTCGCTGGAGATGACAGCTGTTTGGGGTGGGCAGTTTTGGGGTTTCTGCAATTGTTCTATGAAAAGTGATAACAGCAAAAAGACAGCTATGTAGATATTTTCTGATCTGTTATAACAGTATTTTATTCTGTCTAATAGCAAACATGAAGTCCATGTCAGAAGAGCCAGTCCCATTACATGAAGAATTTATCTACTGTTGCGGAGCTGCCACCCATGTCTTAAAGTGTGGGCCCTGGAAAGATCTCTCAAAAGATGAAAGTAAAAATCTACCCAGGCTCTTGTTCATGATTATTCCTGGTAAGGGTCTTTTTTATTTAAGTCTAGAAGTGTGGTGATTGGGAAGGATATGTTCAATTTCAAAAATCTCTCTAGACAAGTGGTAGAATTTGGCTTGTGCATATAACCCCCCTTCCCTCCCAAATAATAGGATTGCACTGATTAATTTTTTTTGTTATATTTGATTACTACTGTTATCTATATTTGTAACAGTGCTGTAAGGTAAAACTGAGAGATGAGGATGTCTCGTTTACTTGATGCTGATAGTTTGCTGACTGCCTTGGGCTTTTTGTTTTGTTTTGTTTCCATTGCTCTCCCTCCAGTTACTTCTTGCATGTTGAAGTGATAGTGCAATATCAGCTGTGCCAATTGAAAGATGACTGTTAAGGGAAAATTCTGTCTCCAGGAGTTTTTTTAAGTTGGAGTTTTTTTTATAGTAAAGGGTTTTGAACTTTGATTTTTGCGTATGAATTTGCATGGTAAGTCTCTTAGCCTTATGTGATGTTCACCAAGTTTAAGTTACATTTAAATCTGGTCATCTTACAAAGCAAGCTATAAACTTTCATTTTTCATTTAGCATATGTTAAAATTAATGAAGTCCTAAATTCATAAAGTCTGTTAATGAACTTTAAGAGTTCTGCCATTAATGGGCTCTATATTCAATCACAAGAAACTTTTCATGCAAGCAAATGTAGTGGCAGGGCTATATGGAGCTTATTTCCTGCAGCACACTTCTGTGAGGACTCCTTGATAACATCTTACATTAACTACATAGGTTATAGACCAGGAATAGGCATCAGTGAAATATTCAGAGTGCTTCTGTTGTAGTCTGCAAACTTTTGCAAGTAGCAGATTTATGGTTCTGCTCTTATTTCAGAATTATGTTAGTAACAAACTGGAAGTTCTTTCACTGAGAAAACAATTAAAAAACACAGCAACCACAATAATGGTATCTTTATTTTTAGACACCCAAATTCAGTAGTGAATCAAATTACCCAAGCTCCTTGCTGTGGCTGGCAGGGAACTGACCAGAACCTGGCATAACATAATGCAATTTTATTTCTCATAAATCAGATGTTTTTGTCCCTACTGGTATATGCCTCATTTTAGCATTCACAAAATACACAGCCTTAGGAGGGATCTGGACATTTGGGTCATCTGGCAACTTGTTAGTGTACCTAAACAGGATTAGATAGCATTCCCCTTGTGCTTTTGTAACTTCCAGAGTATGAAATGTGGAGCCCTTCTGCAGTCCAGCAATTGTCATGCTTGAAAGGCATGTATCCCTAGTTGAGATTCTTTATGGAATGAAATAAAGAGGGACAGAAGTATAGCTTGGTACAAGTCAAGGAAAGAAATATCCAGATAAGGGCAGCTCTCACTCAAAAAGGAGAATATGCATAGCCAAGTGTTCAGTGATCTGGACTGAACATGGTTAGTCCTACTGCGTGTGATACATTGTTCTGCGTATTAAACTGCTCTGGTACATATTTTTCCAGTCTTAATGAAATTTAAGCATGTGATTTTGTTTATGTGTAATCAAACAAAACAGGGGTGGGTATTGAAAGATAAAATTCTTGGTTTCTGCTGGAATCCAAATGTTGCAAGAGAGTTGTAAATAAATTCTGTATAGTTATTTTCTTGTTGGGTTTTTTTAGTCGAACTTCATAATGGGGAGGATTTCTCTCTGGTTTGGCTTTCTTTTTTTCTTTTTTTTTTTTTTTTTTTTTTTTAAAGTAGGGAGAGGGATGAAACTGACCTGACTGCAAAACATTCTTCTTCAGTATTAGTGGCAAAATTACCATTGACTTTGAATGAGGCAGGATTCTGCCCCCTTGATAGATCACTGTGCTTGAAGCAGTTGGAATGCAGAATGTGTAGTAGAGCTCAGTCTCATTTAACTATGACAAGCTAATGTTTTTATTGATGGCAGTCTATGTAAACTTATAATTTAAAAAAAAGTCTGTTTATATTAGTTGAAATGTTTAATGTGCGCATTTTTATCTTGTGTAAACAAACCCTCTCTATAGGAGTAATAATGTATTTACTGATGTAATTACTGTGTAAAAGGCCCAGTTTTTCCTTGGTCCAGAATATATGCATTTGTTGCCTTTTCATATTAATTTTTTTGTATTAAAATCAATGAGATTTACTCAGGAGTAAAGCTAAATGTGCAGTTGAAGGATCAGGTCCATCGTTTTCTGGAAATGTAGGCGTTATGGAAAGGACAGGAATTATTTTTTTCCTCTTATGTCATGAAGGTCTATTTTCCCTTTTGCAGTGTTTGTTTAGTGTAAAATTAGCAGTGAAGTATAAAATCTACTACAGCAATATTTAACATTGCTTGGGTTCATTGAAAACCAGGATCCACAAAGTGTAATGGAATATTTATTTTTTTTTTCTGTTTTAAGAGTATCTATTTATGTCTGTGTATTCATAAAACATTTAACTTTGTAAATAAATACAGTACAAATTTTAAAACCACTGTGCTGTCTGGCTCATGAAATTTTGCTGTACATCAAGGTTTTTTTGCATTTAATTGCAGGAGCACGTTGCAACACCTTCATTCCAGGCTTTGTAATTTTTGTTACCATTGCTTGTAAACTAGATGGTTAAATGTTGTATTTGCTTGTGCTTGGGAAGCTTAGTTCACAGTTGATAATGTATAATATAAATAAGATTTTTTTGTGATAAAACATGCTACACATTTCATTAATATACAGAAATGATTTCAGAATTTGGTTCTTTGGCATGCATGCAGAGTACTCCCTGTGCTTACCAAATTTCTTGATCTGCCTGCTTGCAGTTGTGTTGCTGCTGGGTTATTGAATCATCTTGTTGTTTTACCAACTCATGAAGTGACTTGGTGATATTTAAGGCCTGTAAGAACTTAACCAGACACTTCTGTTGAAGTTCAAAGATTTCATCTCCTGAGCTAATCCTTTGAGTCAAGAGTTGTTTATGGTTTTCTGCACAAGAGATAAGCGGGGGCTTGGGTTCTAATTTCTCCTAGGAGTTAGCTACATGCACTTACATCAACAAGATTATTGTCACTTGAAGACTACTTACCTATTTTTCAGCAGTGAGGATAGGATAAACAATTTGCCTGGGTTATGACAAGTCTTTAAAGTTTTCTCCCTTGAAGTGAGACTACCTGTTATCTTTAAAGTCTTTGAAGTTCTATTTTTGACTGTAATCTAGGGACTCTGAAAAATTTTCTATGCATTATCTGGCTTTGTATTCATCTGCTGTTTTGATACTTAACAATCATCATCCTCAACATTTGCATAAGAAAAGTTATATTAAGAATCACTATATCATAGTAATTTGGACTAAAACTAATGGTACGGTCCTGAAGCTTAGTTTCTTTGTATTTTGCTTTTTGGCTTCTAGTAAAATAGCTTTTTTGAAGTTGTTTATCATTCACTCTGCTCACCAGTCACTGGAGTTAATAGTTCTTCAGAGGTCTACTCTCACCACCGAGACGAGGGGGTTTGCTAAATATTAAAAGAATTTCTTTCCTTATTTTATAAACTGTTTAAAGCATGCTTACTCCAGTTCTCTACAGTTTGGTTTTAGAATGTGCTCTGGTTTGCACAAGAGTCATGGGATGAAATGTGCTTGTTAGTATGTAATCTGTATGTTGTAAGCATTCTTCTACAAGAACTAGTAAGGATCTAATAAGGACTCATTGTATCGGCAGATCAGGTTGCAGTTTGTAGCTTCTGACAATGTTAGTCAGAATGTAATCCAGAATCCTGTATGTGAATCTTGGTACTTAATGTGTAATTAGATCAATAAAAAGAAGATAGATCAAAACTGTGAAGCAAATTCTGATTTTGGAGTAGAGACCATTGAGTTACTCAAGGAAGGTACATCCATCCTTTCAGACACTACTTTTTAAGTCAGCAGCGAGTGTTCTTTGAAACATTTGCCTTTGAAATACAACTGGAGGAAAGGGGAATGTTGCTTGCAATGGACAGTCAGGTTGAGGTAAAATGATGTTTTCCTGGGCAAGGGGGGATATCTAGGTTCTGGGTCATATTCTGCTCCATATGCTTTGCTCTCACAGTTGCTGAATGAACTCCAGCAACAATTTTGTGAACAAAGTTGAGAACCTGTTCTATCTGAATGTATTCGGCAGTAAAAGCTGCCTGTTTTCCTCTTTCTGGTTTTGTGGTCTGTGGAGTTTGTTTTGGTTTGTTTTTTGACTGAATAGTGCCAGAGCATCAGCAGTAGGAAAAAACGTCCAGCCTTACCTCATTTTTTACCTCTGCAGTTTTGTAATTACCAGCTGTTTATCAGAGCTCCCCTGTGGTTTGTTTTGGTTAACATTTTTTTAGGTGGGTTTTTCACTTGTTTGTGTTTTGCTTCGGAGTGGTGAGTTGGTGTTGTGTTTTTTTTTGTTTTGCTTTTTTTTTTTTTTTTTTTTTACAGGGTCAGGCTAGGTCCATGTCACCTAGCTCAGAAAGGAACTATAAGGCCCAGTTTCATCCAGCCTAATATTAAACACCTAATTAAGATGCTAAAATAAGGAGCATAAATTCCTAGGTACTTTGTATAATCAGTAGTTAGGGCTGGGCACTGCCATGAGCATTTCTGCCTACTGCATTAGGAACCAAATAGAATGAAAAAATCGGTAAGGAATGAAGTATGATACTTAAACATAGTATAGAAAGAGTATGCCAGAAGAGGGAGCTGTTTTAAATATTAGAAAAAATATAGTGGGTTTTTTTGAAAGCTTATTGCTAAAATAACCAGCTATACCAGGTACTAGCAGGCTTCAGGCTCTCATCTGAATATCTAGGTAACTGTTTCTCTACTTCATAGGCATAAAAAAAAAAAATTAGTTTTTTAAGACCATTGTCCTGGGTTCAGCTACAGCAATCATTTTTTCTTCTTCTTAGTAGCTGGTGCAGTGCTGTGTTTTTGACTTTCAGCCTGGGAACAACGCTGATAACACCGATGTTTTTAGTTGTTGCTAAGTAATGTTTACTCTGACCAAGGACTTTTCTCAGTCT